GGACGAAAAAAAAGGTAGAGTAGGAAGTTTATTCTTGGACGGAGGGAGTATACACTAACACTAAACTCTTGTATTTGCCTTCTAAGTTTTTTGTAATCCTTTGTACTTGTAAAATAACTTTTAAGTTGCGTATAACTGTATAAGTAAAAAAACAAGTTTCTCTATTTTAACCAAATAATTTACACACACACACACACACACACACACACACATATATATAGGTTCAAATGAGAATGCGATCTTATGAAAGAAATAAGAATGAATTTGGTGCTTTAGATTGGGAGATCTAAGGGTGAGGATTGCATCAAAATTAGGTGCACTAAAATGATTTGAAAATGCATTATGTCGAAATGCAGCAAAATCCTTAAAAAATGCACCATCTCAAAATCTGAGTGCAGGATGCAATCTGAGCCGCACGATGCATTAGATCCAAAGGCTAAATTTCATTCTTATTTCTTTCACCAAGGTGCATTCTCACCTGAACCGCCCTATATATATATATATATATATATATATATATATATATATATATATATATATATATATATATATATATATATATATATATATATATATATATAGACACACATTGCATACTTACATTACTCATTTCTCATTTAAGTCATTTTATTAAAAATATGATAAATAACTTATAAGTTCAAAATTTCTTATCGACAATAAATCAAAAAATATTAGCACAAAGAAAGACTTCGTACATATTTCACTTGTTTATTGATGTTTAGTTTCAGTTTTTTGTATGCATTATTAATTACTCCGTATATAGGCATACGTTTTGTAAGAGTAAATGAGCACAAGATAAGAACTAGTTTGACAATTTCTCCCACAAAGACTTAAAAATTGCTTTTGTTTTAGAGACAACCAGACAATATGGCCGGGATAGCCGATTTTAGAATAGAGCTGGGAAGAAGGGGGAAAACACATCAATGGAGTAGATAAAAGTGACGAATTAAATCATCTCCTGCAAGTTTACTACAGAGGTTCAGTAACCTCTGGTTGCCTTTACCCCATTACTTCCACCATCTTTTCACTGTGTTCAGGCTGCCTAGCTTGCCACACAAACTGGGGAAAAAAGGGACACCTATTGCCTGTATGGCTTTTGGGCTGAATATATTGGAATGACACCAAGGTGTAGAAGCTTTATACAGAGACAGTTCAAGTGGATGCAATCGTGATCTAATATATGCATTAGTGTGATTGTTTTTCTTTCAGTTATTCTAATGTGTGGAGGAACTGTTCAGGCCAAAGTTGAATGGCAATGCCGCCAATGCAAGCTTCTTCACCTCTCCTCACAATGGAACCCGCAGACTATTCAAAGACCGGTAACCAGAACACAGCAACTGACACTGTTAAGAACTGGCCAGTTTAATACTATAGCCTCTTAGATCTTGAGCTCAAGAATGGAGAAGTGGAAACAAACAACCTTAGCAGCAACGCAGTAGTGTTTTCCCTCTCACTCTTACTCAAATTGCCTTTCTCTACTAGTGTCTTTGGTGGCGAACAAATTGATGATTCCAACTTATTAAAGTTCATCCCAACCACCAAAAGTAGGTGCATCTTCATCAAACCTACCAACAAAGACATCAGCTTTCGGTGTCCACAATCGATGACCCATTTTTCTCTTTCTAGTGTTTGGGTTTTGCCTTCTTCCACCCATGTTACTGTTTATTGGAGTACGGCTTCGGGGTCTTTCCTTGCTCTTGAGCCCTAGATTAGTTTGTGTCACTCCCCACAATTTTTGGAGGGCAAAGACTAACACTGATTGCCCAACTAGAAGAGCCAAGGTTATAACAAAAGCTATAAGACCATTTGCTAGCAGTAATGACAAAATAATTGGAGGAAGAGCCCAACAATATGGCTTGAAAACCTGCACTGCCAATAAGAAGAAATCAATTTTATAGCCGGCTATAAGAGATTGATTGTTGAAGAAGAAATCTAAGCCACCACAAATAAGAATCCATTAGTGCAAAGAAGATAACGTCAAATTCCATTACAAACGCATCCATATAATAATCCTGCAACAATAAAACTCCCTCGATCCCCCTATGGTTCACACAAGGTAAAGTGGCACGCAAGTTAAGAAAAGTGTGAAGTGTGGACTGTTTTGACCCACATAAATGTTGCCAAATATAATATGGGAATATGGGATAAACTGTTTTAGACAAACCAAATGGACAAATCGGACAAACATAGTTGAACGGATGGAATGATATAAAACTAAGAGTAGAAATTCACTATTAACGTAAACATTCTCCTTGCAGATGCAACTTGATAATCCAAAACCAAAAACATAACGCTTGTGCATGTGTAACATAAGTAAGATGGGGAACTGAGATTTGGTGGGTGAAATATGGGCATGTCATAAAAGTGAAGAATATTAAGTGGAAATTTTTGTTGACAGTGGATATAACGTGAGCCAGCAAATGACCACCTGCTCCTGAACTTATGTTCGAGTCTATCAGTCTATGGCACTTAAACTGTACTTCTTCAAATGCAACCAAAAGCAAAGCAAAAATCTCATAAAAGTTGATGAAGCTCAAGCCCTATATAGATCAACCTAAATGTACAATCTTTGCTAGAATAATTATGCACCATCTATATCTCCAACTACTATCAAATAGTCGTATTCAAACATATGAACTCAAACAACTGAAAAGCTTCAATGGAAAATACGGAGTAATATAAGTCATGGATGGATAAAGAAAGTACCGGACCTTCAAAACCCAAATACTGTCGATAAACTCATCGAGGATGTCCAAGAAACAGTCTTCTCCTTCGTATTCTTCTTCTCCATTAAAGCTGAAATTCCGGGTTTTGAAAGTTTCAGCATTGGAGTTCCATCGTTCAGATCGGCCGAGACGGAGAGGACGCAGGAGAAGGCGTTTCGACACTGCAGAGCAGCGGAGATGCCGAGGAAGGTTGAGAAAAGGAGAAGGAAGAATTCGGAATTGGTAAAATTTTCGAGTTGGGAAGAAAGGGAGACCGCCACCTCCTCCATGAGCGGCGAGAGTTGTCTGCATTTGGAAATGTCTCTAAAACATCCATTTGCCACCACTCTTAACATTTTCTTATCTACTCTCTACTCCCCTTTCTCACCATTCATGTGTGAAAAATGGTAGGAGTACCTTTGGCCACTCCCTCTTTGTCCACTAAAAATGGCAAAAAAATTCAAAAAAAAAAAAAAATAAGTAAATAAAAATCAAATAAAAATGTGTAGAAGAAAAGATGGTGATGTACAATTGTATATTTGGGGTGCACCTTTTGGTGTACCCCTAGCATTACTCTTCATTTATTACTCTCTCCCTCCCTAAATCATTTACACATCTTATTATTCAAAACTTGTGAAAATATTTTTTATTTATCTATTTTTATTGATTATCTAAAAAAATAAAATTTTTTTGACACATTTTATTTTGTAGAACTTTTGATTTATTTTTTAATATGTAATTTTATTTTTTATTTATATACCAATCTTTAAATAAAATAAATTGAAAAAATTCAATATTTTACTTCATTTTGCATAAAGTATAAATTATTTAGGGACAGAGGAGGTAATTCATTAATTGATGCTTCCTACTTCCTCCTTAAATAGCTCCATCCTAATTCTTTGCAGCCCACCTGCCCCTGAAGGATCATGATGTCCTTAACTTATTTTTTTTACTTATTACTTAGGCTTCGTTTCGTTCAACTTATTTTTTCTGATCTTATCTGATTTTAATAAGTTCTGATCTGATCTAATTAGATCTGATCTGATTTGATCTAATTGGATCTGATCTAGTCTGGTCTAATCTGATTGGATCTGATCTGATCTAGTCTAGGGGTGGACACGGTACAGTTCCGGGACGGTTCTGGTTCCGGGACGGTTTTGGTTTCGGAACCGCCGGTTCTGGTTCCGGAATCGCCGGTTCCGGTACCGCCACCCCATGGCACCGGCACCGTGACCGGACAGGTCGGTACCGGTTCTGGTTCTCGGACCGGCGGTTCCAGTACCGGACCAGGTGGTTTCGGCCACCCAATTTTTTTTTTTGCTTTTTTTTTTAAATTTTGAAAGTGTAAAATTGTAAATTTGCAATTGTTAAAGGAAAGAAAGAAAAAAAATCTAAAAATGTAGTTGTTATTTAAATATTGTAAAATACGTAATACACGAACTGAAGAACAACTACATTTAATATACTGACTGTTCAAAAAAAGCGACGAGGTAAAGAACCGTAAAGAAACCCTCGAAGGAGCTTATATATCGCTCACCTAAAAAAACTAATTACATATTTATATTAACATCCATCTGTGGTTACATTCATGTAATGCTCCGAATCGAGTTGGTACGATGACTCTTGAGCTCGACGTCTTGCCAAGAGCCAATCTTGGTTGCTGATGAGATAATATCCCTTGGGCCTAATTAAAGATATTGGGCCGGTCCACAAGAGAAGCCCGCTAGGGAATCCTAACCCTAGGTTCCCATTATCGTATTATATAAGGGGCACAAATCCAAGACGAAAGGGGGGCCACCTTCTACATTCTCCACATATTGTATTCATCATGTTCATCTTCTCCTTCATGATGGAACTTCGAGCTCCATCAATGGCTATCAAGCCAATATGTTGTACAGATATACCCCTGATATTTAATAAAATATCCCCATTGGCATGTTACCACCGAAAAAGGCCTGTGGTTTTCACCGATTTGGTTTCCACGTCAAAAGTCTATTGTCTATGTTCTTGTTGATATATTTTCTGTATTTTATACATATATCGTATAGACCAAAAAATACACACCCGGGGGGTTTTGGTCTATCAAATGGTGCTTTCATTGAGAGGAGAATTTTATGCTCAAGTGTAAAATCCTCCCATTATTTTACAAATATCGTGGGCAGAATACAATAAAAAAACAAAAAACAAAAAAAAAAACTGAAGACGACCAAAGTGAGGCTCGCACCACACTTTGCATCATAAAATCTTCAGTGTATTAGAGTTTGACGTGTGACCTCCAAATTTGAGGGATCACGTCATAAAGAACTCAAAAATTTTGGACGACGCCAAAAGCAAACTACATGAAAATCACGAGGGAAATGCTACAATTGGCTAAGTCCTAAGAGTTCACTCCCGGGGATGAGTGGGTGCGTTCTCCCAAGTCATCGATGCAACAAACAAAACAATAGGCAAAGCCTATTTAAGCCCACAAAAGTGGCACCCAATCAAACGCTCACAAATACAACCTCTCCAAGAGGTGTTCATCATAGTCCTCCCCCGAGGTTGGCCCTAAACCACCTCGCAAGGCTCCAATTAAATCCTCGTCCTACGAGGCACAAAAGCCCTCTCCCGAGGTCGGTCCAAAAACCACCTCGCGAGGCTTCAATAAAGCTCTCTCCCGAGGTCGGTCCAAAAACCACCTCGCGAGGCTTCAATAAAGTCATCCCCGAGGTTGGCCCTTAAACCACCTCGCGAGGCGACCAAATCCCTCATTCTTTGAGGTTCTTAAAAGTCCTCTCCTCGAAACACAATGAAGCCATCTCATGGACTTCGTAGTCGCTCGACGAGGCAAGTATGTTTCTAACTTTTTTAGGTACTAAAAGAAGAGAAACTTAAGGAGTCAAGATCGGTGCCTATACTAACAGAAGCTTCAAGGGATTCTGCTACAAGAGAGTGTCGATTGAAGAAATTCAATTGACGACAATAAATTATAGTTTCTTAGTCAACACTTCGTGTTCACTAAGAAACTGGGGGGCTTGTGATGGGATAATATCCCTTGGGCCTAATTAAAGATATTGGGCCGGTCCACAAGAGAAGCCCGCTAGGGAATCCTAACCCTAGGTTCCCATTATCGTATTATATAAGGGGCACAGATCCAAGAGGAAAGGGGGGCCACCTTCAACATTCTCCACATATTGTATTCATCATGTCCATCTTCTCCTTCATGATGGAGCTTCGAGCTCCATCAATGGCTATCAAGCCAATATGTTGTACAGATATACCCCTGATATATAATAAAATATCCCCATTGACATGGTACCACCGAAAAAGGCTCGTGGTTTTCACCGATTTGGTTTCCACGTCAAAAGTCTATTGTCTATGTTCTTGTTGATATATTTTCCGTATTTTATACATATATCGTATAGACCAAAAAATACACACCCGGGGGGTTTTGGTCTATCAGTTGCAAACAAGTGTTTCAAGAGATTCAGTGTTAAGAAAACTTCAGTAGTCGGTTAGAATGTTGCCGCCAGCACTGAATTCTCGTTCAACTGCTACGGTTGATACCGAGATGGACAACACTTATCTTGCTAGCATTCCGAGACATGGAAACATGTGTTCATTCCGCTTCCACCATCCGAGGACGTCAAACTCCACGTCGTCTTCGTCGTAATCGCATGACACCCCTTGGTACATAGAAAGTTTGTTGTGCGAGCTTACTATTGTACCACTTGAACTTCCAGAAGGCTGAGCACGCTTCCCTTTCTTTGCAAGAAGCCCACCGACTATTCCTTTAAAATCTTTTTTTGATTTTGGGGGTGGAGGAGGTGTTGTTTCTTCTGGTACAGTACCGTATAACCCTTGATATTCCTTAAACAAATTCACAAAAAGAGTTATAGCATTATCTCTTTCATTTTTCCATTCTATTAAATGAGTTTAGTAATAACTATTTTCATCCAAAAAACAAGTGTAGTAATAGTCAATTAGAATTTTAAAATTTTCAATCTTAAAGTGTGGATCACAAATAATACTTATTTTATAAATATCAGGAATGTACAAATAATAAACACACCATTTATCTCTCATAGGACGGACATAATGGTACAAATCTTCATCAGCCATACTTTCATGAAAACATGTTGCGATTGTAACCCGCTCTTTAAAAATGTATTTGTAGTTGGTTGAATTGGTAAACATGTGAAAAAGTAAGAGTTGCGTTATTAAAAACTTCTAATACGACATTCAATTTTTCAACAATAACAAATTCAAAAGGGTTAATGATTATACGAAGTTCATCCCTAAAAAATTCAGCAAGTTCATCTTTATAGCTTAGAATATATGAAATCAACTTGTAAGTACTATTCCATCTAATGTTGATTTCTTTGGCAAATTGTACTTCTTTTCTACCCTTAGACTTACAGAATATCTTCCAGGCCCTAGAAATAAGATGAGCCCCCAAATTTTCCTAATTCCTTCTTTAATATTCGTCAAAACCCCCCAGAGCATCTAGTTCTTGTTGAACACATAAATTTAAAACATGACAGGCACACTGTTGATGTAGAAATCTACCCATAGTCGTAGTAGGGGGAAAATTTCTTTAACTCTAGGAATACCAGCAGTATTATTAGTAGCATTATCAAAACCAAATGAAAAAACTTTTTCAGCTAAGTTGTATTCTCGCAGAATACTCTGAATCAAAAGAAAAATATTTTTAGCAGTATGAGATTCATTGAAATCACGAAATGCAAGAACACGTTTATGCATAATCCAATCAGTATCTATCTAATGACAAGTAACACCCATATAAGATAAATTATGATAATTTTCACCCCAAATATCAGAACAAATAGCAACACGAGAATTAAAATTGAGAAAAAAATTTGCCAAATTTATTTTTTCAATTTTATACTGGCGAATAATTTCTCGTTTAATTGTTTTTTCTTGAAACACCTCGTGCTTGAGGGTTTAATGTCGGTTGACAATAATCAAAACGGCTGCCCTTACCCCTGTTAGCAAACCGAGAAATTTGGGTTTGCATTTCTTGTCGTCCCTTCTTTTTCGCCGCATATTTGGCGTACTCCACGGGATGCCTCGACATTAGGTATTTTTCCGAAATGCCATAACCGCCGGAAACTCCCATTTTAATGACGGCCCCACAATACTTACAAGTTCCATAAACTACGCCATCTTTTGTTCCTTTTTCAAAATGATAAACAAATAAATTTGATTTTAATTTTTTTTACCTTTGTCTGGACCTCGAGAGGTCTCGGGCTCACCTACCTCCACGTCGACGTCGTTGCTATACGGTGTAGGCTCCTCGTCCCCGTCCATATTACTCAGTCCTGCTTCATCAACATCCTCGAATAGACTATCAAGAGTGGGGAGATTCGCGTCCCCCTCTACCAGGATAAATCTGGTCGAATTCTTCATCCGTCATACCGTCCTCGATGAATTGATCGGGGATATTAGGAAAGGAAGAGACGGAGTGTCTTCCTCGAGAACCGCGTTTGCCTTTCCTCAAACTTCGGTTCACAGCGCCCATATCCACGGACCTTCTACCGGACTCTCTCGACATTTTAATATATATTTTTTGATATTAAAAAAATAATAATATATTAAATTTCGAAAATTTCAAAAAATTTTGAAATTTTATATATTAGAATTTCAAAAATTTCGAAAATAATAAATGTTTTAAAAAAATATAATATATTTAAAAAAGTAAATATATATTTAAATTATTTAAAGAATATATTTAAAAATTAATTTTATATTAAATTTCAAAAAATTCAAAAAAATTTCGAAATTTTATATATTAAAATTTCGAAAATTTCAAAATTTTAATAGTAGTAAAAAACTAAAAATATATGATAATTGATAATAAGAATAATGAATGTATTTATAGGTTATTACAATATTATGTAATATATTAATATTTATTTACATTATTATATGAATATTAAATGTATAAAAATTAAAAAGAGATAATAAGATTGAGAGATTGAGATTTGAGAAATTGATAGATTGAGAGAATGAGATAATGAGAGATGGATTGAGAGATTGAGTGATTTTTTAAGGAAAAAATGTGAGATTTTATAGTACTCCCCCCCCTCCCCTCCCCCACCTCCACGGCTATTTAGCCGTTTGAGGTGTGCCTCCCACCCACTAATTTTTTCTTCTTTTTTGCAGGCTTGCAGGTTTGAGCTGTTGGGACTTGGGAGGAAAAGCCAAAAAAAAGTATTAACTGGGTACCGGAACCGGACCAGTACCGCCGGTACTGGTACCGAAAAAATGGCTACCGGAACTTGTACCGAAGTGGGCGGTATAGGTACCAGTTCTAGGAACCCATGGCACGTCCTGGCCGGCGGTGACGGTGGCGGGTACCGTCGGTACCGTTGCCGGTCACGGTACCGTACCGGTACCGTGTCCACCCCTAATCCGGTCTAGTCTTATCTGATTTGATTAATTATGATTTGATTTAGAATTCAAATCAATAATTTGATTGGACTTTATAATAATGTTTGAAAATTATAATGATAATTCATATTATAATATAATCAATATTTTTTATTTAATGATTACTTTTTAATAAAATAAAATTAGTTAATTCATATATTAGAATAATCATTCATATTATAATGTAATAATATTTTTTATTTTATGATTATTTTTTTGTGAAATTAGAATATTAACTTAATATTTTAATAATTACTTCATATATACATTATAATAAATATTTAATTTATATATACATTAAAAGTAATTAAATTTAGATAATCAATATATAGAAGAGATAGTATTTTTATTAAAATATCTCATTCTTATAAAAAGATTAAAACTTTAGAAACTCAAATTACAAGTAACAATAAAAATATATTTTAAAATTAGAATTATATTGACATTGTCAATGTATTTTATAACTAATTTTTAAAACATCTAATAAATAAGGATTAATTTCTAAGTTTTCTATTTAACATGTTTCTAAAGTTTATTCTTTTTGATTTTTAAGAACAATAATAACAATAACAATAATGATGATGATGATGATGATGTTAATAATAATAATAATAATAATAATAATAATAATAATAATAATAATAATAATAATAATAATAATTTTTGATAGGATCTGATTTTAATAAGTCCTGATCTGATGTGATCTATTTTGATCTGATTGGATCTGATCTGATTCGATCTAATCTGATCTGATTTGATTTTAATAAGAATAAGAAAAAATAATAAAAAATAAGTTGAATGGAACGGGGCCTTATTCATATTTAAACCAGATCAAATCAAATCAGATTAGAAATAGCTTTAAATATAACTACATTCAGATTGGACCATATCAAATTAGAAATTATTCCAATCAGATCAGAACCAATCAGATCAGAAGAAGAGAACATTGCCCAAATGTAGAGGTTTAGGGTTCTTGAAATGATAACTTTAAGATCCAACTTTAAAACTATAAGATAGGTGATAAGTCAGTTTCGTTCTTATCTTTTACTTCATATTTTAAATACAATTGCATGCAAATAGTTTGCAATCATCTCAAAAATATGTTTTCCATGAATAAAACTCTACTTTTGTTCTAAGAGTCATAAAAAAGGAATTTTAAAATAATTTAGTTCAATTCATCCATTTTATGTTCAAATACTTGAGAAAAAGAGAAACGGATATCAAAGCTTCAAAATTGGAGCTAGAACAGACTTCTTGAAGGTCAAAATAAGCATTCACGATGCAAGAGGATGAAACTGGACCAAAACATGAGTTGAAACCCACGCAGGAGCCCAAGCCTGGAGTTGGGGCGTCTAAGTTGAATGCTCGAGCTTTCTTGCAGGCGACAAAACATGGACACTAGGAAATGTTCAGTGGATCTGATGGTGGGGCGTCCAAAGTTGGATGCCCGGGCATGGATGCCCTTGCTCCATCTCCTATAAAAGGAGCCCGCCTCCTCCCCATTTCAAATAATTTTCACTCCATTCTTCTCCTCTTGCTCTCTAGTTTCGAGTTTCTTAGTAGTTTTAATAGTTTTAGTATAATTTTTAGAGTTTCTCGGAGCAATTTGTAGCCTGAATCTCTTAATAGTTTTATCATGTTTTTGTTGGAGAACTATTTAAATGTGCCTAGAAGTAAAACCCAATTATAAAAGATTAAAGACCACTTGGTAGGTTTGGACGCTAAAAAACAATGCCGATAATCGAAAGCCGAACGCCAGTTTCTGAAAGCCGAACGCCGAACGTTGAGGCTTTTTGTAACACCCCGGCCCCCACCCTGGCTGTAAGTGTCCGCTCATAGGATTGTAGAATGGCCCCACAAACCAACACACGTCTTTCCCGCGCACTTTGTCCTCACTCGTGCACGCCCAAGGAAAACTTCCCAGGGGATCACCCATCCTAAAATTGCTCCAGGTCAAGCACACTTAACATTGGAGTTTCTAGGTGATGAGCTCTCGAAAAGAAGATGCACCTTGTTGGTATGAGTAGTACTCTCAATCCTTTTGAGCTCTTCCCATTCCCATCTTGATACGAGGTATTACATTCACCCCCACTTAGGAATGCAACGTCCTCGTTGCATCCTTTTTTTGAACCCATAGATCTTCCCCGGTAGGTGAACTAAGCTCTTTTGGCCCGTCACGGTCGCAGGGTTGCTCTGATACCATTTGTAACACCCAAGCCCCCACCCTGGCCGTAAGTGTCCGCTCATAGGATTGTAGACTGGCCCCACAATGTTGGAACACGGGTTTACGCCTATGTCGTACTAAGCCGTGTTCGTTTTATGACAGGTTTTGATAATGCCAAACCGCCATGACAATAACAAAGTTAAACTGAGCAAAACCAAGGCGAAGGAACATGGCATGATGAACTGAGAACCAAGAACAAGGAATCAAGAACGAAGACTTAGAATTATATTGAGTCGGTCTTAATGTGATCAAGACCGGCACAAACTTTCAAATCTTGGCTCTCTAGGCTTCTCTCATCAAAATATCTTTGTGCATATTCAAAAATGTTTTTCTTAAGTTTTAAACTGCCTAAAAACACTTGGAGTTCGCCCAAACCAAAAAGCAAGCCATCCGGCGTTCGGTCTTTGGAAACCAGCGTTCGGCTTTCGGTTATCGGCGTTGGTTTTTGGCGTTCGGATCAACCAAGTGGTTTTCAACTTTTAATGATTGATTTTACTTCAGGGCATGTTTAAATAGTTCTCCAACAAAAACGCTTCAAAAACCACCTTTCGTTTTTGGTCGTTTAGTGAAAACCATGCGAAACGACATAAACTTGGCTAGCCGTGGTTTTCAACTAAATGACGTGGTTTTCAAAATGTTTTACTTGATTTCTTAGGAAAATACAATAAACAAACATTTTCAATACTTGGTTTTTATTTTGGAGAACTTACATTTTTGACATCGGCTAACGGCTGACTAAACCAACCATGGGTCTGGCTAAACCAGCCCAACAGCGATGTTGGTGAAACCAACAGCGCTGTCTGGCTTGGGTGGCTGAAAACCATGGTTTGGCGTTAAGTCTTTCAACAGCGATGTTGGATGTTAGACATCGCTGTTGAGCCAAGGTTGGATTTCTAGAAACTTCTGGAACAGCGATGTAGGCTTCCCTACAGCGCTGTCCAACCTAAGCCAAAAATACAGTGCATTGGCAGAAAGTTTTTGGACAGCGATGTTGACCCAGCAACAGCGCTGTTAGGCCAAACTTCCATCTTCAAAAGTCAGACCTAAATAGCAATGTTCAAGTAATGAACATCGATGTAGGGACCTGACCGTTGGAAGGAATTTAAGGCTATAACTTTCCTTGTTTGGAAGTCAACAGCCAAAACAGCGATGTAGGGGTATTGGACATCGCTGTTGGCATGACTGTTGCTTCCCAATTTTTAAAAACCAAGCCTAGAACAGCGATGTCCAAGCCTAGGACAGCGCTGTCTGGGTGAATTTCAGCAGATCCAAATTTAATCAAATCCCACAAATTGTGTCAATCACCCCTTAAATGTTTTGGTCCGTTGGAGCCTATTTTTCCACTATAAAATGGGGTGTTAGGGTCTGTTTTAAACATCACATTACTTCACAACTTCTACTCTTTCATTGCAAATCATTCATCACTTTTTCATAGCTTTTTGAGAGCCATTTTTGTGAAGCTTGTGTTGCGTTCTTGAGCGTTCCTAGTTACTCATTATCCACTCTAAGAGAGAGTATTGTTCTTGAGTGTTTTTAGTGTTCTTAGACACTTGACAAGAGAAAGTACTTCTCTTGTTGTTCGAAGGAAGGGTTGTTTCCTTCGAAGGTTTGTTGAGGTTCGTGTGACTCGAACTCTCAAGTTGTACGGGTTTGTTAAGCACCGTTAAGCTTAACGAGATAGTAGTGTAGCTCGAGAGAGTCTCTCGGGAGGCTGGATTAGCCACAAGTTGTGGTGAACCAGGGTAAAATCGGTGTGCCTCTTACTCTTCTCTTTACTTCTCGTTTATTCATTTTTATTCCTGCGATTTTTGATCAAACGCTATTCACCCCCCCTCTAGCGTTGGTCTTCTATTCTAACAATTGGTATCAGAGCCTAACTCGCGTCCAAACTTAACCGTTTGAGAGTAAAGCGATCATGGCCTCTTCTTCTAGAAATCTCTATGCAGGAATTGGAGAAGGTCAATCCACTTCTAGGCCAC